CTAATATTTCTGCGAAAAATGGCATTGGGATTTAGATAGAGATTGGATTGAATCTGCACATTGCTTTGGGCAGTATTGGCATCTTAACAATACTGTTTCCAGACTATGAATGCAGGCTGGGTTTCCATTTACTGGTATCATCTTTAATTTCTTACAGCAACATTTTGTAGTTTTCAGTGTACAAGTCTTTTGTCTCCTTGGTTAAGTTTATTCCTACATGTTTTATTCTTTCTGATGCTATTTTAAGTGGAATTATTGTCTTAATTTCCTTTTCGGACTGTTCAGCGTTAGTGCATAGAAACGCAACTGATTTTTATGTGTTATATCCCACAACTTTGCTGAATTTATTAGTTCCAATTGTCCTGATTGTATGATCAAATTAGTTGCCACCATTTAAATCTTAGTTAAGTTCATATTAAAATCTCAACTTCCTTTTTTTTTGTCATAAAATACTGGAAGTTGTGGCACCTCTGGGCTGACATTCCCACATGGCATGCACTGCCTGGAGCCCATTAGCAGCTCCTGCCTTTGGCAGAAGTGAGCATCCTTCAGCACACCCCAGCCTCCACCACCTCTGCTTCCCCGTGCCCTGCCTGACCACTCTCTCACGGACCCTGCTTCTCCTGGCCCCTCATGCATTCAGCACTCTTTCTACATGTGTTTACTGAGCGCCTACTATATGCCAGGTACCGTTCTAGGCACTGGGGGTACAGCACTGATACAACAAATATCCCTGTCTTCACAGACTTTCATTCTAGTAATAGACTTATTACGTGCTGGGCCCTGTCCTAAGCACTTTATATATGTTACTCATGTAATCTCACTTAATCCTCCAGACCTCCTCAGTGAGGTAGCCTCATTCTACTGCTAAGGAAATGGAGAGGCACAGTGGAGTTGAGACATGTCCAAGGTTGTCTGGCAAGGTAGGGTGATGTCTGTATTAGAAACCCGAGCGGTCTGGCCTGAGAGTCCACGTTCCCAAAGCCCCTTGGTGGCAGAAGGACTCAAATGTGAAAACTCAGCAGTGGAGGCAGGGTGGGATGGATGTAGCCAGTCGGGCCTGGTCAGTGGTCATGTACGTAGGTAACCAGGAGTCAGGTCTCCCGGGAGGGGGAGTGTGTTGGGGACAGGATGGGGTGCTTCCCGGGGCTGCCCCTCAGGCCTCTGGGCTGCGTTTCCTTGGGGCCGTCTGGATCCCAGACCCTCTCATCTTCCCAGCTCAGCAATGCCTTGGTCTTGCCACTGGGAGAGCCCTCCGTTCCTCAGAAGACGGCTCATGATGGAGGGCCAGGCTTGGTGGGAGGTTGGGGGCGTCTGTGTCGAGAGGAGCAGACAGCTGGGAAAACACAGACTGGCACAGGGCAGATGCACCCTCCGCTGAGCCCGCTTCTGCTGGGAGATGTAACTGTGGGTTTGCGTCGGGTCAGCAGACAGGCACCAGCTCCCTCTCCCTCAAGGCCCCCCTGCACCAGGCTTGTGGCTCAGTTTCTCAGCATGACTAGGAGCCTGAGCCCAGGGAGGGCTGTGGCACAAACCCAGTCTGGTCCCTTCTCAGCCCTGGGGTTGACCTTGTGCTGTCCGGGGGGCCATCACAGCAGCCGGTCAGGAGCCTGCCTGCCCCTCTGGCCTGGCTCTTTGCACTCAGGAGTGAGTGCGCTGCCCCCTCGCCGTCACTTCCGTGCTCACTGAGTGTCTCCGGGTATGCGGGACACCTCCCGAATTGCTGATGGAGGAGGTCACCCCCCACCCCCCGCCGACACCTTGCATACCGATGCAGGCACCGTCGCTGACTCAGAGCTGTACTGGGTGGGTGAAGGGCGTGCCTGCAGGGGCCCCCTCCGCAGAAGTCCCCGTTCTCTGGTCAGGTTCACCCTCAGCTCCCCGTCTCTGCTCCGAGCCCTCCTCCCGTACTTGGTTTTGTCTCCGTCTCCTGTGCTCACTGTTTTCCCTGACCCTGAGAGACTCGCCTGTTGTCCATCCCAGGCGGGGAGATGTCTGCTGTCTTCCCTGCAGGCCCTCCCGAAGCCGACCCCCCGGGGGTGGAGGGCAAGGGTCCCGCTCCTGGGCAGCACGCCTCCTTAGTTCTCAGGCCCCAGTGGAGCTGGCCGGCGGGGCGCAGGCACCGCGCACCATGGGGTGGTTTGTGCCTGACCGGACACCCTGCAGTGTCAGTGGGCCGTGCTCCTCTGCTGCCCGAGACTAGCCAGGAGATGACGAGTGCCTGACATTTCTGACAAAAGGGGTCTTTTACAGCCTTTTCCTCATCCCTTCACCCCGCCCCCAGCTTGCCTTGTGGGGCAGCCGCCTCCTTTTGGGGCGCCCCTCAGAGATTCCAGGCAGAGGCCAGGAGCGCCCAGCGTTCCGACTGTGATGTAAGGAGAGAACAGGAACTGGGCTGCAGGCAGGTGTCAGTCAGGCGTCCTGACTCCCAAGTAAACACTGGGAAACCCCACTTTCACTGCATCGGGTCTGAGTGCCAGTGGTGTTGGGGACAAGCAAGGTCCGAGCCCACCCAGCCTGGTGCCGAGGAAGCAGCCTGTCTGGGGCACCAGCTCCGTGCAAGTGGATCATCCTGGGGTGATTTCTGAGGGAGGAGAGGCAGGAGGGGGACCCCAACCTTTCAAAAGGAGGTAGACTCCACCTATTTCAGGGTGGGGGGAGTGCAAGAGCAATATATACTCTTTGAGACTTAAAACTTACTGCAAATCGAAAAGAATTTGTCAAACATCATTCCATAGTCCAGAGCCCTGTACTTTTTTTTTTTTTTTTTTTTTTTTTTGGTGACAACAGTTGCTCCAGAATATAAATGTACTTAATGCCACTGAACTATACACTTAAAAACAGTTAAGATGGTAAATGTTTATGTTCTGTATCTTTTACCACAATTTTTAAAAACAAAATAAAAAATTTTTTTTTTTCTTGCGTTATGCGGGCCTCTCACTGTTGTGGCCCCTCCCATTTGCGGAGCACAGGCTCCGGACGCGCAGGCCCAGCGGCCATGGCTCACGGGCCCAGCCGCTCCGCGGCACGTGGGATCCTCCCGAAACGGGGCACGAACCCGCGTCCCCTGCATCGGCAGGCGGACTCTCAAGCACTGCGCCACCAGGGAAGCCCCAGAGCCCTGTACTTTTTGTATTGCATATGCGATTTTGTTTTTGGATTTTTCTTTGACTTAATATGTTGAGGAGCTTTTCCCCACATCATTTAAAACTCCTGGTAAACACGAGTGTAACGACTACACAGTAGTCTATGAGTGCATATACTGTAATCCACCTAACCGTTCCCCTAATGTTGGGCATTCAGGTATTCCCAAGTTCATGAATAAGGAATGAAAGGCTGCCTTATTCAAACTGTCCCTCACTCCCCTCCAGGGCGAAGGAACTGAGGCTCCGTGTACCAGGCTTTTAACAGAAGTGGGTATTGGAGCGGGCAGAGAAATGGCACGGGCTTTGCTGCCTGGCCTGGTCCATGCCCAGCACATTGCTAGGAAGAAATGTGCTGATGGAGCAGGTGACAGAGGTGACCTTCTTGGATGCAGCCCTTAAGTCACCTGCTTGTCCACCAGGAGGCCTTGGACAGCCAGGTTGGGTCTCCCAGCCCCTCTCTGGGTCTTGTGTTCTTGGAATCTGCCTCCCCAGCTACGAGTGAGCAGCGCTGGTGTCACAGGCCTTTTCCTTGGAGGTGGGGTCGCGCCCATGGCCCGCTTCCTCCCCCATCTTGCTCAGAAAAGCGGAGGCTGACTTGTGGTCCAGCCGACGTCTCCAGCGCCAGGAGGCGGTTGGCTCTGAGCTCGTGCTGCACAGACTGTTGATGACATCTCAGCCATATGTAGTGGGGAGATTTTACACCACCCCCCCCGAAAATCCCAATGTCTGGCTTCTCTTGAAAGGTCAGAAATTTGATGACACTGGGCCTGTGTCCCCCCCCCCACCCCCCCCAGTTGCAGTCCCCTGTCTCCTTCAGGTGGATCTTGGGCATCTAGTCCTGCACTGCCCCTCACCTGCCTTACTTGGCTGGTGGCCCCAGTAGGCGGTGGGCCTTGTCTCCTTATGTTTAGTAACAAGAGCCCAAAGCTTGTGCAAACCACACCCCCTTATCCCCCAGAGAGGGAGTCTGACTCTCACTGTACCTTTTCCAAGGTTCTGTGCGATCAACACAGAATGTTCTGCAAGAAAAAGCTCAAACAGGCTCTGATGAACACTGGTGCTAAAGTCTTTGTCTGCATTTTGGGTTATTTCCCAGGGGGAGAGTTTCCTGGAGGTGGGCTGATGTGGAACCAGGGTTTAGGCCTGCGGGGAGGGCAGGCAGCCATCCTGGGGTCCTGCTCTCTCTCGGGGCTCGTTTCGCCTCGCTGGGCTCTGGTTGAACCAGGCCACCCTTGCCTCCTGATGGGGTGCACACCCCTTCTCTTTCTAACAGCCTCCACTGGCCATAGCTCTCCTGCAAGGCAGACTGGGAGCTGGGGTGGAGGCAGGTCCCAGATGTGCCCTGGTCACTGGCAGGCCCATCTCCACAGACAGACTCACCAGGAACCACTCAAAGTAGAAAATTCTAGGGGCTGGTCAAGGACCGATCCAGGTTTTGTAGTGCCTGGAGTTTATACACTTTGGAGGCCCTTTAAAGAAAAAAAGAAGGTTAAATGACAAATACAGAAGTAGGTTCAGGCCTGGCTAGGGGCCTGTGCAAAGGCAGGCATCCTGAGGGTCAGCCTCCTGAGTCCCCCGGCGAGCTGCCCCTGGCGTGGGCCCAGGCTGGCACAGGGGTCACCTCGGCTACACTCGCTCCCCGGACTCTCCTGTAAGCCCAGACTGGCTGGTCCTGTGACGGGAGAGGGTGCTGAGAGCTGTCAGGACCAGGCCAGGTGCTTTGCACCTAGAGTCCCAGGTGTGGCCTGATGCTTGAACACAGGGAGGACTGGGGCTCTGGGTTTGGGCGAGAGGCTTGGGTGTGGGCTGGAGGAGAGAATCCAGGCTCAGCGTGCCCCGGCTTTGTGCTGGCAGGTGGAACACCTGAAGCAGAAGCTCATAAGCCAGGCCCAGGAAGTGAGCCGCCTTCGATCGGAGCTGGTGAGCCCAACCACGCCATCCTAATGGGGCGGGGCTGGGAGGGGGTGATGCTCCCCATGTACTTACCACCACTCACTGTGCCCACGAGGTGGTGTGACCCGTAACAGGAGGGAGGTTAATTCTTATTTGCTGATGTAAAGTAGGAGTGTGAACTCTGTGTATAAATATGACTTTCCTTGTAACTTGCACACTCAGGAAAATGGAATGAAAGGAGTGGGGTGCAGCCGGGAGCAGTTGCTGTCTCACCACCCTCCTCCATCTCTTCCTCTTCTCTGCCTTTGTCTTTATCATCTCTGGAGCCCCTCCTCTCTCCTCTCCGTCCATCACTGGCCTTTCTTTCTCTCTTCTCCTTCGCTCTGTCTCCCCACCTCTCCCCTCTCCCCTGCCCCTGCACTGTCTCTGCCTCCCCGCTCCGTCCTTCCCCCTGATCTGCCCTCGCCACATGTGTGCCTCCCCACTCTGGCTCTCTGCAGGGAGGCACCGACTTGGAGAAGCACCGGGACCTGCTGATAGTGGAGAATGAGCGACTGAGGCAGGAGATGCGGCGCTGCGAGGCCGAGCTGCAGGAGATGCGGGCCAAGCCTGCGGTGCCCTGCACAGGCTGCGAGCACAGCCAGGTGGGCCCAGGGCCAGGGCGGTCCCGGGGCACTCGATTCCCAACGGTCACCCCACCTCCTCACGCTGAATCCTGCCCACTGGTCTCACACCTGTCCCGGCCCCCGCGCCTCTGCGGCCGTCTGTCTGCAGGAGAGTGCCCAGCTCCGCGACAAGCTGTCCCAGCTACAGCTGGAGGTGGCGGAGAACAAAGGCTTGCTGTCAGAGCTGAACCTGGAGGTGCAGCAGAAAACCGACCGGCTGGCCGAGGTGGAGCTGCGGCTCAAGGACTGCCTGGCCGAGAAGGCGCAGGAGGAGGAGCGGCTCAGCCGGCGCCTGCGTGACAGCCACGAGACCATCGCCAGCCTGCGGGCCCAGTCGCCGCCCGTCAAGGTGAGCCTGGGGCCGGGCGGCCGCACCGCTTGCGGTGCCCCGCGCGCACCTGGGCCACGCCTCAACTCTGGTCCCTGGAGCCCAGGATGGGCTGGACATAGGAGGGGCTTGTCTTGGTGAATAAGTAGGTGCGGGGGTTGAAGGAATCCTTCCAGATCTGCTGTCAGCCTGGCCCCTTGCCCTTCTTGCTGTCCAGGACCAGGCCGTGTAGGCATCCAGCAACTGATGCTTGAGGTGCCCGCCGTGTGCCAGGCATGGATGTGATGCATCGCTAGATTCTGCCCTCGTCTTTGCCTTTCTTGTCTGTTCTGGGCCCAGTCTTGGGCCACAGCCAGGCTCCTAATGGGCTCCTTAAAATGAGAAGTTTCCAGGAGGCCCTTGCAGCTTTCTGGAAAGCCCAGACCTCGGGGCTCCTCTCGTTTATTCTGCGGGCCGTTGGTGGCATGTTCCTGAGGGGCCCCCCAGGCTCCCAGGGTAAGGTCAAGGCACCCACGCACCTCCATGCACCCACCCCTCCCTCCCCTCACAGTATGTCATGAAGACGGTGGAGGTGGAGTCGTCCAAGACCAAGCAGGCCCTCAGTGAGTCCCAGGCCCGGAACCAGCACCTGCAGGAGCAGGTGGCCATGCAGAGGCAGGTGCTGAAGGAGATGGAGCAGCAGCTGCAGAGCTCGCATCAGCTGACCGCACAGCTCCGGGCGCAGGTGTGCACATCTATCGGGGCAGCATGTGCACGCCGGGCCCCGACGCCAGAGACCGGCCTTTGGCACGGTGCAGCGGCTGAGCACTTGGGGTTCGACAGACCTGGGTTTCAGTCCCTCCTCTCCCCGCTGGCCCTGTGACCAAGGGCAGGTTTCTGTCTCCTCATCTGTAAAATGATCTGATCACAGAACGCACCTCCCAGTGGGGCTTGACCTATTCACAAGATTCGCTCAGGGCCCGGCACACAGGCTCTTGGAAGGGTGCTCTAGTCAGTATCATAACAAATGCTTTCCCCTGCTCTCCTGGGGCCTGTGGCTTGTGACCTGTGTTATGTGCCGGGACCCAGGTTGGTGCTGGGCTGATGCCGGGAAGTTGCTGCACGGAGCTCCCAGCCCTTTCAGGGAGAGAGACGGCCCCCCTACCCCACCTGTGTGTGTGTTCACGTGTGCAAGGCGTGAGGGGTGGGGCTTCTTTCTCTGCGTGGCGCACGGCACTAAGCTTCTGGCCCTGGCTGCAGATCACCATGTACGAGTTGGAGCTGGAGCGGGCACATGGGCAGATGCTGGAGGAGATGCAGTCCCTGGAGGAGGACAAGAACCGGGCCATCGAGGAGGCCTTTGCCAGAGCCCAGGTGGAGATGAAGGCTGTGCACGAGAACCTGGCAGGTGAGCCGTCCAGCCGGGCTCTAGCCTGCCCCATGCCACAGCCCTTCACCCCGTCTGCCTCTCACCCCTTGTGTCTCCATAGGTGTCCGGACCAACCTGCTGACGCTGCAGCCAGCACTGCGGACCCTGACCAACGACTACAATGGGCTCAAGCGTCAGGTGCGCGGCTTCCCGCTGCTGCTGCAGGAGGCCCTCAAGAGCGTCAAGGCCGAGGTGAGTGCAGGCCATGGTGGGGCGGGGCTGGGAGAGGCCCTGGAGCCCCTGGGCAGATGCAGCAGCCACCTAGCGCGCCCTTCCCAAGCTCAAAGGCCCCAGATGGCAGCTCCTGTCCCACACACGCACTGCTGTCCCCAGACCATTTGAAAAACCGTCTGGTCAAGAGCAGGTATTTGGGTATAAACCAAACATGTCACATGTATCTTTAGATCCCGTACGTGCTATGCATATCTTTATGTCTCAGACATGCTACACTTATCCTTAGATCTGTTAGGTTTAATTTAATTTTTTTAAGCTGTACTTGCGCAGTATGAGAATAGCCAATGTCTCTTAAGTGCCTCCTACGTGCTGAGCCTTTTATAGCCATCGGCTCCTTGAATCTGTATGACAGCTCTGCAGGGTAGAGAGACATGTATTTTGGGAATCAGAAATAGTTCTCCTTTAAAAAATTATGTCAATAATACACAGACATGTTGAAAGTACCCACCTCCCAGAAGGGCATTCAGATGGAAAGGAAAGGCTTCTCTCTGCCACCCAGCCTGCTCCCCAAAGGAGGCCTGTCTCCCAGCATTTCCCCCAAAGGGTGTTCTGAGCGTGCTGAAAACTGTTGACATATATGTACATGGACACGCACTTCCCTTTCACCCAATAAAGGGGAGCAGGTGTATGTGTGGCTTGCATCTTGTTTCTTTCCCTTATGAAATGTAACTTGGAGATCTTTACCTACCAGCTCCTACAAATCCACGAGTTAGATGTTGTTATCCCCATTTTACAGATGAGAAGATTGAGGCTTGAATACATTGAGCCAGTTGCTTCTGGTCCCCCAGGTCCTCAGGGTAGAGCTGGGATTTGGGTCCAGCTGAATCATGTAGTCAAGTGCTGGTGCTGTGGAGTGAGGGCTGAGTCCCGGCTCTTTACTCATCTGCAGGGCAACCTTGAGATTTGCTTAGCCTCTCTAGGCCTCAGTTTCTTCCTCTGTAAAATGGGCCTGTTCGCAGTACCTACCCAGAGGGGTTATTGGGAAGATGTGACGTGTGACAGCGCATGTCAGGTACTTAGTCCAGGGCAGGAGGCAGTGAGCGGACTGTTGGGGGGACGGGGAGGGGGCAAGCAGCCGGGCAAGCAGCCGGGCAAGCAAGGCGGGTGGAGCTGGGCCCCTGATGGCGCTGCGCACCCCCCACTAGATCGGCCAGGCCATCGACGAGGTCAACAGCAACAACCAGGAGCTGCTGCGCAAGTACCGCCGGGAGCTGCAGCTGCGCAAGAAGTGCCACAATGAGCTCGTGCGGCTGAAAGGTGACTGCTGGGTGGGCTGGGGGGTGCCTAGCAGAGGGAGCCCTGACCTGCCTCGGAAGTGATCCTGTCCTTCCCCATGGCCCCCAGCACCACTCCCTGGAGCTGTGCCCTGTCATCGAGGAGCTGTTGTAATTCCCTCTTTGTAGATAAGGAAACCGAGGCACAGAGACGTCACAGGGAATTTGCTCAAAACTGCATGGCTAGTGAATGGTCCACCTTGGATCTGTTCAACTCTGAAACCTTTGCCCAATGCCTATGGCAGGCTACCAGGTGGCGGAGGGGTAGGGTATCGAAGCATTGGGTGGTGGGTGGCTAGAATGCCACTTATTCTGATCTAGGGCCTGGTCAAGCTTGAGACACCACCCATTCACGGCACAAAGGTCTAGGGAGCACCTGCTCTGTGCCAAGTGCCGTTCCAGACAATGAGGATGTGGCTTTGGGCGCCACAAAACCTGTCCCTGCCTTCATGGTGGTTACTTCAGCAGGGGGCGAGCAGACAGTGGTCATTAATCACTCAGAAAACCCCATCACTACCCCTTTACCCAGGCTGGGGAGGGGCTCTGAGAGCCCCTGGGTATCTGACAGTTGAGGATGTCGAGGGGGCTTCCCGTAGGAGGTAAAACCAGGGCTGAGACCTGGATTGTGAGGTGGAGTGGACAGGTGAAGGGAAGGTGGGGCCATGCTAGATGTGATGGGGAGTTTTCTCTTCATTCCAGGAACTCTGGGATCCCACCCAAAGGCTTGAAGCAAGGGGGTGGCATGATCAGATCTGTGCGTTAGACGCCCCTGGGGCTGCCCTGTTGCCTGTGCCCGTCTCCTGCCTGGTCCTTTCTGCCCATCTGATTCCCAAGCCCTGTCCTGGCATTCACTGTGCCCTTCTAGAGTGACAGAATAAGCCCCTTGGCTTGCTGGGATCCAAGCCCCTCGTTGTGTACGTGAGGAAACTGAAGTCCAGGTGTATAAAGAGTTGTCCATTTTGGTACCCCACCCAAACTGGGTGCAGTGTCTGAGCCCCACAACTGACCTTTCCTCCATGTCCCCAAGGTGAGGCTCCTACGGTCAACTGGTTTGCTCAGCAAGAAAATGTATTGATACGTTAATTCATACTATAGCGTGAGTGACTGATCAAATCTTTGTGGGCCACCTTGCCCTTGGGGGCCTTACTTAGAAGGCAGGGGGCTCTTGAGCCACTAGCCTGCTCCAGATGCCAACGGACACCAGTGTGGAGGCAGTCTGGTCTTGACCTGGTCTGTACCCTTCTCTCTTCTGCCACCCAATCCAGGGAACATCCGGGTGATTGCCCGTGTCCGGCCAGTCACCAAAGAGGATGGGGAAGGACCTGAGGCGACCAATGCTGTGACCTTTGATCCCGACGACGACTCCATCATTCACTTGCTGCACAAAGGAAAGCCCGTCTCCTTTGAGCTGGACAAAGTCTTCTCCCCAAAAGCCTCACAGCAGGACGTGAGTGTGGCCCTTCGGGGAGAGGGGCAGAGAACAGTGGAGGGAGGGGGAGACAGACTCAGCTCACCTGTAGAGGGAGAGATGTTGGGAGCTGGACAAAAGTAAGTGTAAGGGAGGGCAGACAGGATGGAGAAGCCCAGTGCCCCACGGTCCCTCTCTTTTCACCTCTGGAGGAGAGAAGAGGGTGGGAAGGTAAACTGGGAGCTTTGGAAGCCTCGGCTAAGAAGGGCAGATCCATACATAGCCTAGGGCACCCACGTGGCCCCACCCATCCTCACAGCCACACCCACTCTCAGGCTCCTCCTACCCTCATAGCCACACCCACTAACATGGCCTCTCCCACTCACATGGTTGCTCTCCCATACTCAGCCACATGCACTCTCACAGCCCCTCCCAGTCATGTGGCCCCGCCCATCCACAGGACCCTGGCTTGCCTGGAGGCAGGCCCCTCCAGCCAGGAGCACCTCCTCTATCAGTCCCATGGGTCTTCCTAGGGACTCCCATGCTGCCCCCCAGGCCTCAGGGAGGACCCCTCAGCCTGTGTGAGCCATGTGTTCTCAGCATCCGCTCTTGCCTCGTCTCTGCCAGGGCCGACCTGGGAGGCCTGTTTTGCCTGTGCCCTCCGGTCCCCATGCTGGGCTTTATCTTTGCCCCCGTCCTTTGTTGCTGGCTGGCAGGCAGGTAGGCCAGCCGGCCCGTGGAGGTGCCAGGCACATGCTTTCTCGGCCTTCATTTGCTGACCCACCTTGAGAGGGGGAGAAGCTGGGGGAGGGCTCCCGAGTTCCTGGGCTGGGCGGACCCTTCCTCAGGTGCGGGTGGGCAGTAATTACTGCCCTGACTTCCCTTCAGTCTTTCGGCAATGAGGTTGCCCACTAACGCCTAGTGTAAGTGACTTATTAGTCACAGATTCCTCCACAGTGAGCTGGTTGCCCACGATAACAGGTGCCATATTAGGGGAGGGGAGCAGTCAGGGGGAGGTGGCTGGTGGGGGCCCCTGGACCCAGCAGCCTTGGCAGCCCTTCACCCTCCATCCCACATCCCCTCTGCAGGTGTTCCAGGAGGTGCAGGCCCTGATCACCTCCTGCATCGACGGCTTCAACGTCTGCATCTTCGCCTATGGCCAGACGGGTGCTGGCAAGACATACACGATGGAGGTGGGTACCTGCTGGATGGGGCAGGGATCCAGAGTGAAGACCAACCCCTTGCTGACATTGATGGGGGCTCCCCTCATTGGTCTCGAGGTTCTGCGTGGGGTGTGTTTTGCCTCACTCGGTCTTCATAACCACCTTGGAGCAGAGCCCATAGTTATCCATGTTAGCCCCGAGGCACCAGGCCTGCGGCGGGGGCGCCTTGCCCAAGCACGCCTGCATGGTCCCGGTAGGTATGGGGGAGGGGAGGGTGTGCTGACAACCACCTCTGGCCTCAAGAGGGGTCTCGGCCTGGGCCCAGAGTCCAGGGCAGATTGCTGTGACGTCTCTCAGGATTGGCTTTCATTTCACCCACACACATTTATTGGGCTCCTGTTGTAGGGCTGCCATGCTGGGCCCTGGGAGTGTCAGGATGAATGAGGGGGGGATCTTGGCCCTCAAGGAGATACCCGGGCAGTGGGAGAGACTGGCCAGTGAAGAGACTGGCCAGACTTGTCGTGGGGCGCCTAGCTCTTTTTTTTAATATTTATTTATTTGGCCCTGTCAGGTCTTAGTTGCAGCAGGCGGGCTCCTTAGTTGTGGCACGTGTGCTCCTTAGTTGCGGCTCGCCAGCTTCTCAATTGTGGCGTGTGAAAAAGTTGTGATGTGCGTGTGGGATCTATGTCCCTGACCAGGGATCGAACCTGGGCCCCCTGCACTGGGAGCGTGGAGTTTTAACCACTGCACCACCAGGGAAGTCCTGGGTGCCCAGCTCTTACCTGCAGCTCCCAGGGCCTCATCTCCCTGCCCGTGCCATGCCCCCCTCTATGGGATGTGGCTGGGAGTGGGGGGGTTGAGAGGAGGAAGAAACTTGACTGTAGATAAAAATGGAGCCATTTCCCTGGCTCTTAAGGGGGGTATTGTGGGATTCTCCAGGTAGGGGAGGGGGGGCGGGTCTCCTGCTGTCCCAACAAGGGGCGCGAGAGGGCCCTGCCGTCCCAGGCTGTCAGGCACCCTTTGGGAAGGCTGTCATGGTGGTCCTTTCTCCCCCAATCTGGTCCTTCTTTTCCCTCGATTCTGGGATTGGCAAGGCTGGTTAGTAGGGGGCAGGCCAAGCGAGATGGGGAGGTGAAGGGCGAGGGGTGTGTGCAGCACCTTCTAGGCTCCCAGCTCTGTCTTGGGTGCTTAGAGTTGACCACCAGGGGCCTCCATCCTCCAACACATCCCTGCTGAGTCCCACTGTGCATCAGGCACCGTGCCTGGGGCCTGGGGCACAGCCGTGGCCAGGGTGCCTGACCCCACGGAGCCAGCCCACCAGTGGGGAGACAGCAGTGCACACGGCAAATCAGGATGTGTCCTGTCAGGTGCTAGGGAGAAAACTTCAGCCAGGTATGAGGAACCAACAGTGAGGGAGGGATCGGGTATTTGGAGGGAGAGGAAGCCTCCCTGAGGAGGTGACTTCGGTGCAGACACCTAAGCCAGTCACGGAGAGGAGAATGGGGAAGAGCACTCCGGGCAGAGGGAACAGCAGGGCTGGAACCACGAGTCTGGAGCGTGCTGGGGAGGATACTGAGGCCCGGCAAGGAGGCCCCAGTGGCAGAAGTGAAGTGAGGGTGGGAGGTACCATGATAAGGGAGGCCCAGGTGAGGACTCCAGATTTCTTTCTAGAAAAGCCAGCCAGCCAGCCCATCAGGCCCCAGTTCACTTGCCAGCTCTGCCTGTGCCTCCCCTGCATCACCCACAGAGCCTGGCTCATGGCCTACCTGACAATGAGCCCCTTATTGTCATACATTCATACGTGTCATACAATCATACATTCCCGGTGCCCCCTCCCAGGTGGCCCACCACGGCCAGGCTTCACCTGGTGCTCTGCTTTAAGTCTCAGGCCCAATCCTGGCAGGGTGGGGCCATTTTTTTTTTTTTTTTTTTGCTGTACAGTATAACAGTTTCTACACACATCTAATTATTTGGGAAAACATGCTTATTAGATCTTATAAGAAAATAGAATTAAATCGTAGTAAAGTATTAGGTAGACGTTTAAAAAACAAACATAATGGATTTCTTTCATCTTAATTTCATTTCTTTCTTTTTTTTTCTTTTGCTGTATGCGGGCCTCTCATTGTTGTGGCCTCTCCCGTTGCGGAGCGCAGGCTCCGGACGCACAGGCCCGGCGGCCACGGCTCACGGGCCCAGCCGCTCCGCGGCATGTGGGATCCTCCCGGACCGGGGCACGAACCCGCGTCCCCTGCATCGGCAAGCGGACTCTCAACCACTGCGCCACGAGGGAAGCCCCCGGGTGGGGCCATTTTTAAAGGCGGGGAAACTGACGCCCAAGGAGGTCAAGTTGCTTGTAGCTGGTGGAGGGCGTTTTAGGGGGCAGACCGGCATGCAGGTGGGGAGCTTCAGTCAGGGAGGCTGGCCTGTGAGGGGTAGCCAGAGCAGGTGGGGACCACAGATACCACGTGAGCATCTGCATGGGCCAGCCCACGTGGTGGGGGGAGGCCTGGCTCACCGGGGCCTTGATTTTGCCCGCAGGGGACCCTCGAGAACCCAGGCATCAACCAGCGGGCCCTGCAGCTGCTCTTCTCCGAGGTGCAGGAGAAGGCGTCCGACTGGGAGTACACCATCACCGTCAGCGCGGCCGAGATCTACAATGAGGTCCTCAGGTGAGGAGCCCTCAGGCGGAAGGCCCTCGAGTGGGAGCCCCTCAGGTGGGAGCCCTTAGGTGGGAGCTGAATGTATGTCCTGACTCAGCCCAGGGGATTCACTGGTCCCAGGCCCCTCCCCAGTGCTAGCAGGCAGGAGGAGGAGGGGTGTCTGAGCCCACCTGGGATACCCAGACGAAGGCACTCCTTTTCCCCTTGAAGTGTCCTCACCCTACCTGCAGGCTGCACCAGGTGGTGAAGTGAGAGTGGGGTCTTGGGAGGACCTGCCCACAGGGGCTCAGTGCATCGTGGGGGCAGGAGTAGCAGCACCCCAGGACTTTGTGGGAACGTTCCATCTCTGCCCTTCAGCAGACTGAGCGCAGAGCCCCATGGTCCAGGAAGGCTTCTAGAAGTGTGATGGCTGGGGGAACGTTCCAGGCTGGGGGTGGGTGCAGTGCAAGCAGAGGGCAGAGTGCGAGGAGGGAGTGACCGTCCTTCCTGCTCTCAGGGACCTGCTGGGGCAGGAGCCCCAGGAGAAACTGGAGATCCGCCTGTGTCCTGACGGCAGCGGGCAGCTGTACGTGCCAGGGCTGACGGAGTTCCAGGTGCAGAGCGTGGAGGACATCAACAAGGTGTGGGGCTGCAGGGGCCGGGGGTGGGGAAAGGCTGGGGAGACCCTGCCCACAGCAGAGCTGCCCCGGAGGACAGAATGGGTGTCGGATGCAGGTCCTGCCAGGTCCCCAGGCCTCCCTGAGCCTGTTTCCTCCCATGGACGAGGCAAAGGGTGCCGCCCCCTCACAGGGGTACTCGGGGACGGTTGATTCTGAAGACCCCACTCCAAACCCTGTGCCTCTCTCTGCCCTCCCCGGGCCCCAGGTGTTCGAGTTCGGCCACACCAACCGCACCACGGAGTTCACCAACCTGAACGAGCACAGCTCGCGCTCGCATGCCCTGCTCATTGTGACGGTGCACGGCGTGGACGGCAGCACTGGTCTCCGCACCACGGGTGAGTGAGGGCCCCAGCCACCCGGCCTGAGCCACCCCCGTTCCCCCCACCCCGCACCCTCCCCACCCCCGCCTTTCCCGGGGCAGCCTTGACCCGCCCAGCACCCTTCCCGCAGGGAAGCTGAACCTGGTGGACTTGGCCGGCTCGGAGCGCGTGGGCAAGTCAGGGGCTGAGGGCAGTCGCCTGCGGGAGGCACAGCACATCAACAAGTCGCTGTCGGCCCTGGGGGACGTCATTGCCGCCCTGCGTTCCCGTCAGGGCCACGTGCCCTTCCGCAACTCCAAGCTCACCTACCTGCTGCAGGACTCGCTCAGCGGGGACAGCAAGACCCTCATGGTGGTGCAGGTGAGGGCCCCAGGAGGGTTGGATGGCGTGACCATTAGCGTGTAGGGGCTTAACCAGCTCCAAGAACAGGGACCCCCCCCGCCTTCCCCTGCGGCCCAGGTACCCTCCCAGGCTGTGCAGGGAAGAGCCTCCTGTCGTCAGCGGCTCCGAAGTCAGTGACGTGTGGCCCCCATCCCCCACAGCCTCCCCACAGACCTGGCCACGTGCACCTTGTGCCTGGCAAGTTCCTCCGTTTCTGCCACCCTGGTTGCCCTCCTGCTCCCCTCCCTCTCAGTCTTGTCCAGGGAGCCTTCTGGAGTCCGCTGGTTGTGGGCTCCCTTTGGTGCCCCTTCCAGTTCTGCGAGGGCAGCCGGCCAGCCGGGTGGGGAGTGAGCTCTCGTGTCCCCTAGGTGTCCCCCGTGGAGAAGAACACCAGTGAGACGCTCTATTCCCTCAAGTTTGCCGAGAGGGTGCGCTCCGTGGAGCTAGGCCCTGGGTCCCGCAGGGCAGAGCTCGCGTCCTGGTCCAGCCAGGAGCACCTAGAGGTACGGGGACCACCACAGGCCCGCCTCAGGCCAGTACTGGGTCATAGACATCCGGTCACGGGCAGGAGGGAGGGTTTGGAGGGGGAGGAGTGCGGAGTGGTGGAGGAGGGGAAGATACCAGAGGGGGTGGAGCCAGAACTTGAACCCAAACCCAGTAGCCTCTTTAGTCCAGGTGTTCTTTCTCGGCCTCAGAGGTACCTGTGGGGGTCATCAGCTGGTGGGAGGGGGGGCGGGGGCGGGTGCAGGCTGGCACACAGGCGCTCAGTAGTAACTAGTTCACTTCTTTACGTATGCTGTCTCACACCCCCCCCCCCCCCCCCGGTTTTTTAACCACCCTA